GGTGCAATATGGATCCCACAAATGCTCCCACAGTGTGTCCTGCTCCTCCTCGGAAAACCCGATGCTCGTCAGTGCCGCCTGCAGAACCTGAAAGTCCCTAGCGTCATCGATGCCGTTGTTCTTCAGTGAGAGGCACCCGCCTTTGCCCAACAACACAAAACTGCGAGCATCGCCAAGTCGAAGCCTCTCCCGCATGGCCCCGTCAGCTCCGGCGACCAGCTGATAAAAGACATGATACACACGTTCGTCTGCCCCACACGTGACGGCCCGTGAGCGCTCCAGCAGAAATGGTGTGACACGCAAACCCATCATAACCCCGTCTGCATCAAACTGAACCTCCATAAATTTACCAAACCGTGAACTGTTGTCATTCTTCACAGTCTTGGCATTTCCAAACGATTCCATCACAACACTACTCATCTGTACCTTTTCACTGATGCGTTGCATACGCTGGCTCACAGCTACATCTGTTGCCACACGCTCAGACGCCGCACATAAATACTTCAGCATCTTTTTGCACGCTTCGGTTTTCCCACTACCACTTTCCCCCGAAGCAATAATGGAATGGTTTGCCTGCCGTGCACGCATCTCCACATATGCTCGATGTGCCACACTCCAGACATGAGGAGGGAGGCCTGAGGGGAGCTTTGCCGTGTCGAGGTGATCAAGATACAATTCCATGCAATTATCCGCCTGTGACGCAATGACCTTGAAGGGATTCACTGAAAGCACCATTTCTCCAATGCGCATGTACGTTAGATCCCTGGCATGCCGATTCCTCAGCACATGAAGTAGGAGCGCATCATGCAGTTCGGGCATCTCCAGGAGATCGTCTGGAAAGGAGTCAAAAACCCCCGGGGTGGTTGGAAAAAAAAGAAAGTCCGCAGTCACCGGAACACTGAAAGTCTCGCCGGACTTGCAACGGACAGTTGCCATTTTCCCGTCATGCTGCTCCTCCATGCTCGCAACCACAGCCAGCTCCCAAGCCCGAATAGGGTGGAAAAAAAATACCATCTGGCCAATCAAAGACGGTCTCATCCCATCGCTACTGCCCACTTCCATCGTTGTGGCAAAAAAAAAAAAAAAACAACAGCAGAAAATGTGCCTGGATGAGGCCTTGTCTTCTATTCCTACGGAGTAAAAGTACAACAATGGAAGATCACAGCTTCGTTCAACGTTCCAAAATTCTAATTCAGAGGAGGTCCGCTCAGCACCCACGAACAAAGAGGGATTCAAAAGATATGTGGCCATGCTCAATGGGCTCTCGCTGTGAACTCATGAATTGACGAGTCTTCAGGGTCCCGCAACAACCGGATTCCTCCCGCGTAAAGGGCAGTAGCGAATGGGTCGGTTGCGAGGGGAAAAAGAACCGCACTCCCTGCGGCCCGATGCAGTAATAGTGGAAAACAGAAAACAAGTGGCACACACACACACACACTCAACTACAAAGGATGGCCAAAAAAAGATGCCGTATTATCTCCCTCAGCCCCATCAGGAGTCGTATTTCTTTCCAGAAGCTTTAATTAAATGAATAAAATAAATAAATAAGCCACCTTCAAGCCGCAAAGAATGACACTGCATTTTTCCACGCAGTTGCCTACAACCATTAAATCCAAGAAAGTTCACTATTTCTAAACTAAAGTAAAATAGTAAATACGCATTTTTGACAAACCCAGGTAAAACACCCACACAGATAAACATCAGTTTTTCTTGAATTCAAACACAAGTCGTTAGTTGTTAACACTGAATAATCTTCTGGGTCGCTGGCCGAATCCTGCAGTTTATCAATAATAGGAGCCAAACAAGGTAGGAATGAGAAATGGAAAAATGGAATAAGAATGGGGATTCACCATATCCTCAAAACGTGACACCAAGTAAGTATAAATATAAATAAATATATATGTATATATCATCCGTTGGCCACAATTGTGACCCGTTCACTCTATTAGGATAATATATATATATTACTTACGAAGTGGCAGACTTTGGGATCCTCCAGCCACAAGACCCCGCCGTGAGGTGGGAATCAAGGGTGTGGGTGAAAAGGTAAAAATAAAAATAAAAAATAAAGAATTAACTAGCCGCTATCGGTTCCCCGTCCCAATAAAGTCGTATTCTTCCCCAAAATTCATAAGACAGAAAAGTGTCGTAAAGAAGCGCATTCGTTTTATTAGGATATATAAATTAATTAAATTCGCCAGTTCCCCCGCGATCATTCTCTTCACAAGCTCCTATAAACCACGTATCAGGGCTTCAGATGATGTACTAAACCATATTTTGGCCCATTGGATATCCAAGTTTTTTCATCTGGTGTTCATTTTGAGCCAGTATACATCCGATTGTGGCACAGTAGGCGATGTCCGCTAGCATTTTTAGAGAATCATTATTACAAATGATGGCCAATATACTCAAAACACATGAACAGCAAATAACAGCCACATCACAACAATCATTCTCCAGATTATAGTGCTGAAGTACCATGAAACGATTGCCGTGCACTGCGCATGAAAGACAAAGGGTGGCCTCTAGGCACATGCAACAAGGCTCAACTCCCTTACCAGAAAAGCAAGAGAGATCTCCACACAGTCCGGCGCAGCAGATGTAACGTGACCAGTCACCAAGCAATAGCTTTTTGCGTTGCATGATAGTACAACAGCAAGGACAAAAACACGCACCTAAGCAAAAACACGGCTCATTACAAGGTGCAAGGATCATACTTGTCGCCCATTTGTTCGAGCCCTCCCAGTTCTCAACTTCACTGTAATCGGCCGGCGCGGTGTAATCGAAGTACGATGCCTGAGCGGGCAAGGCTGGTGTATTAGTATAAGGCAATGCATTACCGGATGCTGGTTTCCCGTATTCTGGCTGAGGCGGTCCGTATCCTGGCTGAGGCGGTCCGTATCCTGGCTGAGGCGCCCCGTATCCTGGCTGGGGCGGTCCGTATTCTGGCTGAGGCGGTCCGTATCCTGGCTGAGGCGCCCCGTATCCTGGCTGAGGCGCCCCGTATCCTGGCTGGGGCGATCCGTATTCTGGCTGAGGCGCCCCGTATCCTGGCTGAGGCGCCCCGTATCCTGGCTGGGGCGATCCGTATTCTGGCTGAGGCGCCCCGTATCCTGGCTGAGGCGCCCCGTATCCTGGCTGAGGCGGTCCGTATCCTGGCTGAGGCGCCCCGTATCCTGGCTGAGGTGGTCCGTAAGAATAAGGGTAGCTGTTTCCGTCTGATTTCATCCTGTTTCACTTCTTCCAGTACAGGAAAGGAATCGGAGGCAAAAGTAAAGAAAAGAAAAAGACAAAAGAAAGTCGTATCACCTCCATGAGAGTTGTTTTTTGGTTGTGCAGCAACAGCAACAGTAGACGGTAATTCATATGACTGACATTAGCCAAACTTCTTTTCTTGCCTTTGTTTATCCAACACCTCACTTTAAGCCCAGCCATATATATATATATATATATTTCTTGACTAGAACCGCGCAACATAATGAATGTGATGCATCTGTCTTTACGCCTAGACACGACTGAGAGGCCGACAACGCCACTCGATGGCCATTGGTTGAAATCTGAAAAAGGTTCGATACCTCCTTAATTCCAAAGTCAGGGTTGACAAGTACCAAAGGCTCAAGGCCACGTTCGTTCCCCATGATTGCCATCATAGTCAGCCTTTCCCAGGCACCATTATTGGCGAGGCAAATGAACGGAAAGGGGGCGCGGTACACAGCATATAACGTAAAAACAAAAATATAAGAGAAATCAAAAACTTTATTGGCTGCTCCCCATGTATTCAAATCTCTTCTCTTCTCGTTATTTCATGGTGGCTTTCACAATGAAAAAACATCCACAGCAATTAATGGACAGGATTGAAGTTTTATGGGCAACAGTGCGGTGTTCTTGTTCTTACCGTGAAGTCCCCTTTTATAACTGGCCAGCGTGCTTTTCTTTTACAGCCGTGTGGGGACACGATTCTGTCGAATTGTAAAAGACTTCTTTAACAGTTAAGAGAGCCTCCTTGCTCCATGTAATTGCCTTTTCGCCGCCATCCTCCTCACTTACCAATAAAAATCGAAAAAGCAACAACAATGGATTGAACCTCATATAAAAAGAAACAATCCAAAAATGAAAAGAAGAGAAGAAAATCACTCAAAAATGAAGCAAAAAAGGGGGAAAAAAGGACAAAGGAAAAAGTGGGAGGTAAACGGGTACGCCAAACCATAAAACTCATCTCTTTGACACCCCCCTATTCCACACACACACCACTAGAAACACATTAACGGTTAAACCTACTCTATGGGAATAATCTGCCGCTCAATCATTTCGTACACCTTATTATGAGTTTCTTCACGACTTAGACGTGATCCTGCGCAATCACAGCAGTTCGTATGAAACCAGTTGGACATGTTTTCACAGCACCACAGGTATGTCTTTCTAACATTTTCCTTGTATGCACGCTGTGCAGTCTCATGAATGTCGAGTGATCCTCGGTTCGGATCCGCTTTCATGGCCGAGAACGCAGCATGTGGAGGGAGATCAAGGTAAAGGACCAAGTTTGCTGGAGGAAGCCGGAGCCACGAGACCTCCATCAATTGGAGATGGCCAATAAATCCAGCTCGTTCTTCCTCTGGGAACTTTGAAGCCTGATGTCCACAATTTGCCGTGTAATACCGATCCAGAACAATCTTCGTCCCACGGCACATCCAGTACTGAAGCTCAGGCAAAAAAGCAAAACGATTCATGGAAAATAACAAACTAAACAGCTTGGGATCCAGATCTTGTATTCCGCCCTTTTTTCCTGACAGAACTTCACGAAGAAGCTCACCATAGCGATTTCTTTCTGAAGGGAATTCAATACTTGAGACACGGTGACCCTCATCCACAAGGCGGTTAACTAAAAGCCTCGTTTGCGTTGCCTTCCCCACCCCATCCCCACCCTCAAATACAATTACTTGGCTCACGGTTGCGTTGAAGGAAAAAAATGCCTTCACAGCCAGGAGCTGTGCCTGCAAAAGGCCACCCGAGAGATCCACGTGGAGGGAGGAAATGGTCTCCAGCAAGGGGATCGAAGGGGAGGCGATGCTGCCTTCTTCAAGTGACAGAACAGCTATACGTTTACGGAACAGAGCGTAAACAACGCCCGCATCCTTCAAACTCCCTTTTTTTGTGATGAGGCATATAAAAGTATTGACTGTTTTTTGTTGTTTATTCTTGGGACGTAATACCTGGACTACTGAATTGTGGCAATGTACAAGTTCGACGGAATCCCCCACGGTGGCTGCCTCCGAGGCAACAGCAGCACAAAGCGTTTCGCTCCGGACGTCCAGAAACACAACAATTTTCATCCTTTTTACCCAAAAAAAAAAAAAAAAAAAAAAAAAAAAAAATAGAAATGATAAAAACAATCATATGCTCCATGGGTACACAAGTAGAAAAAAAGGTGCGTGTGTGTGTGTGTGTGTGTGTGTGTGTACTGATGACGATGGGCCCAACTTTCCCTCAAATGGGAGGAAAAAATACACACAGCAAGCTCTTTTACCTTAATTTATACCACTGATGCCTGCATTGAGCAGCAGCGCGACGCACCACGCGTTTATGATCAGCCAGAAAAATCTGTGTTAGATGCAGGACCCCTTCTTTCTCCCTTGCAATGATTCTTTTATAATTTAATTCATCCTCGTTGTTCGTGGCAGTTAACTGAACGGCAAACATAGCTACCTCCGACAGCAGGCGTAGGGCTGTGCATCTTGCCTGTAGGTCTGAAGACCGCACAGCACTCAGCAACATCTGAAAGAGAGCACCATCATTTATCAAAATCCGTTTCATGAAAAAGGCTTTGGAGTCTATGCGAAGGAGTACACAATCCAAAAGTTGCAAAATGCCAATAACATGACCTTCGGACGGTTTCTGTCGTGCCAAATTCTCGCATACTTCCAGAATGCTACCCCAATCAAACTCCAAACTAATTGCCTCTTTTCCAAGAAGTTGAAGAATAAGTTTCAATACTTTATCTGGCACAGGGGTGTTGCTAGTTCGTACGGCCTGAATAAAGGGAACAAAAAGGGTAACACATTTATTCGAGCCCAATGATGGCGAGAAAAAAGTGGCAGTCAAAACTTCATCAATGTCTACACCACTACAAATTGCGTCCAATAACCTTAATATTATACTCTCCACCCCATCATCCATTGCTAAACCAGCCTTTATTAGACCACGGGCTGCAGCTGCATGCACAGCAAGCTGAATCTCTGGATCTAGACCTCTTGACCTTGTTAAGAAACCCTCTAAAGCGTTTGGCGCGTGGGCGCATATTGCCGACACGCCTTGTATCGTTACGCGTCGAAATTCTTCTTCCCGAACGGCATTCAACATCTCCGTTACCCAGTGCTCCAGGGTCTCTGAAACATGAATCACATCCGAGTCACAGGAAGAAAGCAGAGCGATCACCAATATGCTCCACCTTTTTCCGTCAACCATCTGCAGCACCGTTTTCTCAATTGAACATAAAGGAATACGCACAAGCAGTTCACACAAAAATTCCAAACTCGCGGGCGAATTTTTCAAAAACACGATTTGCAACAAATGCAAAATATCTTCTTCTGAAAAGTCTGCATGTTCTGAAAGAGCACGCCTGCACAAAGAAAACACATCTGATTCAGAAAGCCGTGATTCAACCAAAGACCGTGAAGGATTTAACAAAAGTTCCATGGCCAAAAGAGCGACAGGAACAGAAGACATCAAAAGAGCATTAAAAAGTGTGATAATCCCAGTAGCGTTGAACTTCGTTTCTTTTTCAAGTAAATGAACGATAGCATTATTCAAACCATTCCCCTCAAGATGACCAATACGAGAAATACATCGGGCAACCTTAATGTGAATTTCCTCATTGCCCTGTAAAGAAATCAACAAGAGATTTTCATACGACAACTGAACACTCTCCACAGGCATCCATGGATGCAGATATACATCCAAACTCAATAGGGATGAAAGTAGTTCACACATGATGATCTTTGAGGAAGATTCAGCCATTTTAAGGGCCAGTAATAGGGTTTCCACAAGCCGGAATAATTCTGGGGAGCTCAACTCCAGACTTCTCTTCACGTCATCCAGAGTTGACGACAATCCATGGTGCACCTCATCGGTGGTACACAGATCTAAAATACCTGTAAAAACAGCTGAAAGAATAATAAAACCATTTTCTTTCCCACCATCAATCTCGTTCAAATTCATTAATAGCAACGGCAAAAAATGAGACAGAAGGGAAGTACCACAAGAAGCATCACTGCGGGCTAAATGGTAAAACATGGTAGCGTATGCAGAACATGTTGCACTTCCAGAATTCAAACTTGTTAAAGCACCACTAATTGCAGGTTCTATCCAGGAAGCGATGACTGGGGATAAAACCCCATGAGATCTTTTGCCAATAAAACTCAAAAGATTTATACAATCTCGTATGTATGAATCCCCCTCACTAAAACCCAGAGATACGCCCTTAATGACTTCATTCCGCACGTGACTTACGACGGGAAGTATATGGGGACTCAAATCTTTCATGTCGTGTCCCGATTCAGGAGAAAATAATTCCAAAAGGACGGCTATGGACTCCTGCTTCACAAAAGATGACGGAGACGACAACCTTGACAAAGTAAATGAAACACAGGGATCCAAGTAAAGTGGGCAAGTCATACACCGAGTAAGACTTCGTTTCAATTCCTCTCGTGTCACACTGCACCCTGGTGGCCGGGAAAATACTACTGGAAAATAACTAGAAATACTGTCAAAATATTGTTCCTTTAAAGGAACAATGTTATTTTTATCAACAAAAAAACTCAAAAAATAGTAGAGCTCAAACGTATGCAACACAAGTTCCGGCTCCCCTTCCTCGTCCATGGCTTCCAGAAGCAAACGAAGAACGGGTGTGGTAAGCCATGGCACGGTGGCCTCTGAAACCATGTATTTAAGGATTTTAAATCCACTACGCCGGACTCTTGTTGGCAAAGCCTGTAACCTAACATTGGGTAGAAAACCATTAGCTAACTCTGTAAAAACGATCTTACTACAAGGCCGCTGAGAAGACAAATATTCAATAACTCTCGTAATACATTCCACGGAAGTTTCAATTGTCCGCAAAGAGGAAAGCTTTCCTAAAAAAAATTTCAGTACGAAAACGGCCTCTTCATCTAGTAGAGTTTTTCGTCTTGTTGTGGCCAGGCTCAAAACAAAAAGCGCTTCAATAATATGTT